TATATTATATATATATATATATATATATATATATATATATATATATAATATCGATTGTCAATTATTAAAAACATCTAAAATACGACATCGACAAATTTTTTTAATCTACACCGCGTAATTCACAAATAAAATAATGCAAAGAGGAAGTAGAATTGATTGGCGGTTTATTCGTGATCTAAGGGAAGATTTGAAAATCGATAATTCGTGATAATTATCCTTCGACAACTTACTTCAGTTACCGATCATCGTACTTTACCATGTGAGATAGTTGTATAGCATCGTATAAGTCAAGATTTAGATTATAATGGGTTATATTTAGTGCATCAGAATAGCAACCTTCTTCGTACTGTAAATAAATGTTATAAACTTCTGCTGATGATTTAAATTCCCAATGAATTGTTTCATAATTGTCGATTTACAGCTAACAGATAATGTGACTAAATAGGTAAGTTCCAAATAGCTAGAAGAGTTCACGTAACACTCGAATGTTTGTTATTGTAATCCACTACGGTCAACAAATATCAACGACTGTTAATCAGGTGAATTTTGCGCTCTGTACAAAAGTGCATTTCATAAACGAGCATTCGAGTAAACGCATATAGCAACATCAACTAATTCACCCTTTTTGACAATGCCATTGTGTCACCTTCTAGGCGTCCATTCCCCTTCATCGTCATTTCCCTTTGATAACCATCACCTAACTGGTACGAACTCGTTTGCAAACGATACAGCACCTGACCGAAGCACGGGGGCGACTCAAAGTTTGATCATGAGATCTTAGGAGGCTTCCCAGATTATCATCAAGAAGTTCTACCATATAACACCAACATTCAGTAACAAGAAACTATTGCGGAGAAAAATGACGTCATTGTAAGTCATCCTTGCAGTTCTTGTTTGTAAAATTGAGTGAATTTAATTAGCGAATACCCCACCCTCGTAAATTTAACGAATATCCACCCTCGCAAGGGAACATAAATCTTTATGGTAGAACTATCTCTGAAATATAAAAAATAGAGCAAACATATCAGTGAAGCTGTAACACAAACTCATTCCTTGTCTACCATATGATAAAATTTGAATCTTTGGGTTTTATCTAAATCTACGCAAACTTTATGCATATAACTCAGGAAAGGAAAGCTTACATTTCTACACTTTTATGCCAATTTAGAACAGTATTGAAGAATGGAGAAGTGAATTCCAATAACTGCTATTTTAACACATGAAAAATATCGAAGTAACGTCACAAAATATCACTGTAGGTATTTGTACATGAACAGACAGCATCACAGAATCAATAAAGATTCTGTCGCGTATAAATCGTTTAAAATCCTTTGGAATAAGTATGAACTACATGGCACAATACTTAGTGTTAGCAGAGAATACTTTGATATAATGATACTGATATAAGAACGCTTTTTTGATCTTATTACGAAAAAAGTCGTAATAAACTGATTGACGTGACTTTAAATGAATAACCAAAAAAGGCGGTTTCCCCAGAAAACATATAAAATTATTTGAAAAAAAACATCCCGATAGGAAATCAGTTTATTGATAAAGATCTGTAGAAAATAATCAGTGATGTCAAGAAAGCCTTTACATGACCCCTGTATTCATATGACATTGAAGGAATATGATTCCAGTAAGTCAGAAAACTGTGCCTTCCTATGAGTTGTGAAGAATGACGACCACATCACAGCAGCAATTCAACAATATTCCAAACAGGTTATTTCAAGATCCTTCATTTTTACTGACATTTTCCTCTTTAGCTGCACTAGCGTCCGGGATCCACAAACCACTATCAATACATCGTTGTAAATGATATGCAAATACTTCACGATCCATCTTCTCGGCAACTTCCTGCAGGCGTGACACTTCTTGACTATCAAAAGCAGTTTTCATGTCCTGAAGAAAAAGAAAAACGTCAACTTGTACAGAAAAACCCGATGTGAAACAAACTCTCTTGAAATTCTAATAAGAAAATCTGACACCATTGAACAAAAAATAAATTAAAAAAACCTCAGGTAAACTTTCATACACTTCTTGTGGATCCATACCACCCGGTGACGCAGCAATACGCTTTGCCTTTTCTTCTGCTTCATATTCGGCGATCGCTGCATCACGCTTATCTTTGCCCCTCTTACGAAGCCTATCGCAGAAGGCATCAACTTCCTGTCGAAACATTTTCGCATAGGAGGGATCGGCAGCACGGAACCTATACACCAACGTATAAGTTATTTGCCGGTTACATTTCTGTTAAAGTGGTAACAGATATCGAACCACAAGAACTTTGGACTGTTCAAATTCAACATTGCAACAAAACCAATGTTTGCCGACAATTCAAAATACATCCGTCTGCTAGGATAAACATGTGATAAACACGTCAACATAAATTCACTTTTTGAAGAAGTTCTTGATGACATTTGTATTGGTTGCAAGTGCATGAAGAGTTTTCGACAATTCAAGCAAGTACTGAATAATAATACACTGTTCCGCCATAACGCACATCTTTTTATCCTGAATGACATAATAGCATTAGAACACGGTATAGGTATTAAAGTTCGAGCATTAAGAACCAAAAAAAGGACTTGATCAAGTCTTTCACCTCGAATTCCATAGCAAGATTAAGAGCTTGAATGGTAAGCCAGCTAGCAGTAAAATCTGATGCTAACTGAGGATGCTCCAACAAATACTTCTCCGATTCTTCCAAGCCATGTATAGCGCCAAAGATTTTCAGTAATTCTTCGTTTTTCGTGAAAAAATCGGACTGTAAAATGATGTGTCATGAAAATAAAAAATGAAAAAGGAGAAAGGGTAGAGAGATAACAGAGAGATGAAATGTATATATACCTTATTTCTTTATGCAATCAAAATATAACAACAAACCATGCGTTTGCTTTCTTCTTCCTCCGATAATTTCGGTGGTTCGGCTTTCTTATCTGTTATTTTATTGATACGCTGAAAAACAGAACACGAATTGGAAAAGGAAAATAAGATACGGGAAGAGAGAGGAGAAAGAGCAAACCGAAAGAATAAATGGATAAGTACCGATTTACTAAATGCTTCGTGACCAATCGTATCAACATTCCATGGTTCATTCTTCTCTTTCTCAGCCAACTCTTTCTCCTTCTTCTGATACTCCTTTTCCTGCTTCTTAACTTCTTCAATCTCAAGCTCCAGCTTAATTCTTTCCTTGTCGTCCAAATCACTATTCTTCAACTTCTCTTGCACTTCCTGCAAAGAATGGAAAAAAAATCACATAGAATAAGTGAATAAAGACAAGAAAGAAAGAATAATCTTCGAAACTAACCAATATTCGTTTTTCCACCATTGACCTTCCCTCCATCAATTTCTCTTTTTCCTGTTTACGCTCAGCCATACGTTCCAAACGTGCCTGATGTCGCCATCGAAACAGTGAAGGCGTATCAATGTTTGGATGTGTGTCATCCTCATCATCTGATACTTCAATCGTTTTCCACTTCGAATAATCTAATGGCATCCTTCTGAATGAAGAACTAATTATGATAAAATGATCATTAATTGATATCTCACGATTACTTCTTCTCATTCAATATTATCCGAGAAAGGAGCGAAAATTAACTAAAAAAAAGGAAAACAAAGGAAGGAGGTGACATAAATTCGACCCTAAGAAGTTGTTAAGTCACGTTCATGGATCATGAAAGCTACTACGATCGATCCTGTCACTCCATTTCCGACCGGTTTATGAATAGGTTGCGAAGCTTTTCGAATACTTCAGTGTACGTGAACTGCAGCACAATTGCGCCTTAGCGCTTTGTGATTTATTATATAAGAGAAAGGATAGAATGTGAAGATGAAGGGGAGGATAACGCCATCCCGGATAGAATCACTGTATATAAGGATTAGAGCAAGTTTTTTTTTTTCCCCTCCCCCTCCCTACTCCAGTCATGCTGTCATATATATATATATAAATGAGGAGATCAAGAAACTCATTAATTTGGTTTGTGGAGTAAAAGTTACAGGAACAGATAATGGAAATAGGAAGTGTTTGAAACAAATAACTGGAAACCCTCAGGGAACATCCTAAAGTAACCTTGACGTATGAAATAGGCCTCGGGAACAAACCACCGCTCGTTTAGGTATCCGAAAGATTGCACAACTCAAACATACGTTACTGGATGAAATATATTATTGGATGAAATTAAATGCAAATTTATAAAGCGCTATATATATATATATATATATATATAT